TAACAAGTTACAACCGAAATAAGAACTCTAACAGAGTTAAGTCGAGCAACAGGGATAAAAATCTCACAATAATTGATACCATATGTCTGAGTGTAGCTTTTGGCAACAAGTCGGGTCTTTAAATGCTCAATAGTGCCATTAGGAAGATATTTTATAGTGTGGATCCAACGACAATTAACAACTTGTTGCTTCCCAAGAGAGAGAGAAGTGAGATCTCAAGTTTGATTCTCATGAAGGGTTTTCATTTCCTCATCCATAGCTACTTTCCATCCAGGGGATGTCAAAGCCTGTGTCAAGGAATTAGGAACAACCACAGATGGCATGATAGATGCAAAACAACAGAACAATGAGGAAAACTGATGCAAGGAAACAAAATAAGAAATGGGATGTTTGTTATTGTTACGAGTATCTTTCCTCAGTAATAGGCAAGTTTGAAGAAGAAGTAACAGAAGGCTCAGAAAGGACCTCAGTTGAATCAGGTAATGGCTGTGGAGCGAGAGTATATGGCAAAACATGTCTGTTCTTTGTACGTTGATAAACCTACAATGGGGAGGTTAGTAAATGAAGATGAAGGTACACAATTTGGTATAATGGGCATTAATAGCTCCCTTTGACTAGAATAAACTAAATTTGGGAAAGAATTATGTTATGAAGTAGAAAAGAAGAAAGATGACTCAAAGAAGGTAATATTGACACAAACATAGTACTGGTGAGTAAGGATCAAAATTTCATTTCAGTGCATTGTTTCGATCACCTAGGAAACATAAATGTTTTGATGTGTTTTGAAAATGTTTCGACCTATTTCGGAAATATAGTGGAAAAAATAAAAAATTTAAGAATTAATTTTTTAAAATATTGGTCAAAATATATTAAAGTATCTTAAAATATCTTGAAACATTCTGAAACAATTATACCAATACATTGAAACATTGTAAAATACCTCAAAATATTATGAACACCTCGAAACATTATGAAAGACCTCAAAACATTACGAAATACCTCGAAATATTATAATTTTGATTTCATTAATGCTTCGTTTTAGTCTCTTTGAAAACGGAAATGTTTTGAACGTCTCAATTGTTTCAAAACGAAATTTTGATCCTTAACAGGTGAGAGCTTAATCATATTATCGATAACCTTTTTGAGTACAAAAATATCCCAAAAAGATACACTAGATCGAGCATGAGGAAAGTTTATCCCTACCTAAACCAAGTAGATGAACAAATTCAACACAACAAATAATACGAGGAGTCAAACCAAATGAAGGTGTAGTAGGGTAAAAACAATGAGAAGAGAAATTTGTCACCTAAGACAAGACATCCGATTAATAAGACACACAAAAGTAAGAACAACATCTGTCCAGTAGTGTTAGTTCATAAATCCAAGACACGTGTTCTTGTGAGTACATCTTCTCAAGAGAGTCCCATATATTCTTAGTTGTATCAATAAGATGTACATTAGAAGCTAGAACGGGCTCCATACTAAGCCACAACCAAGTCATCACCAAGGAATTCTCATTCTACCAATCTTCAGAATTTTTAGCTTCCTTAGGAGTTAGTTAAATACTTAATTTTTTTGGCACGCAAAAAAGCTTTGATGGCATGGGACCAAGAATGATGGTTAGTCCCATTCAATTTGATAGAGGTAATTTGTTGAATTTGAACATCCATGGAACGAACTTGCCTGACCCGATCATCCATTGAAATATCATTCACATCCTCCGAAGTCGCCATAGAAATACCCATAACCAACTAGATAGTAGTAGAGAGTGAAACAAATTGATAATCCACAAACAACCACAACCACAACCACAACCACAATTGCACCAAACAAACTATCGAAAACATAACCAAGAAGGGGTTCAATTTAGCGAATCAAGCACAATTTGCCCAAACACACTAGAAGCAAAGTGCCCACAACATAGATCTACCCCCAACACACTTAGGAACCAGAAAGGACCAAAAAATGATGTTGGAACTGGGACTCTAGGCAAAGTTCTTTACAATCAATAGCATCTTGGAGAAACAATCATAAAAAATCACCAATAAAAATGTCTGGGCAACTCAAATACACCCTACAATCACTTAGTCGCACCCCTCAGGTAAGGTTTGAAGTATCAAAAACAGTCACAGAGGCTTCAAAAAAATATTTTCATGAAAATCATTCAAAGATAACAAAACCTATTCATATGGCTTCAAAAAATATCACAAAAATTTGGACAATTACTAACACCAAATTCCAAGTCAGAAGGTGTGTTCTAGCTATTGGGAAGTATGATGTCATGTTGACGTCAGCCACTGACGATGATGTCAGCGACGGGACGGAAATCCGAGAATCCTCTATATGTTTTCTGATGATATTTGGGCACGAATCATTGCTTGTTGTGATACGAAGTTAAAATAGTACTAGTAAGAGTATTAGGGTTTGGGAAAAAAGATGAAGAAGAATAAGAAAAGACGAAAGATAGAGAAAGAGAATAATTTGTGGGTGTGTAGGATGTGTTGCCATACTTCCTCTTATTTACATTGAACAATATCTCGGGTAATTATAATATTACCCTACACTAGTTTATGCTCATAAACATAAATATAAAACATAAAAATAAGAACTCCAATGAATTTTATAGAAAGATCGGTTCAATTTGAAATATCTCCTATTTGTCTCAACTTCAGTTTTTCCTACTTAGTTTGCCATCTCTAGTGGTGTCATACCTCTTCAGAAGGCCCTTAATTTGCTCGTAAGATGGAGAACTTGCAAACCTAGAGGTCCATATAGGCATCTTGTTGCTCCTTGTATCTATGTCATACCTCATAAGAAGACCCTTTAGGTGGTCATTGGATGAGGGACAATTCCAAGTCTAGTAAGCCAGTCACACCACATAGATGTTTTTGTGTTGGGTGCGTGAGATAAGGTGGGGAAAAAGTTCCGGGATGTAAACTTATAGAGTGGGAATAATTTACAAAGGATGTGTACATTGTGAAAATAATGTATTAAGATGTTAATAGGGTGTGCTTAGTCGTGAATGGGGTGAGTACGGAATGGGGTAGGTCTAGACACCATTAAAGTGAGTGTATAATGGAGGGGCTTTGGTAGTTTTACATGACAGTTTGATGGGGGTGAAGATGGATATTTATTGGGGTGGGAATAGCCCCACCAAATATCAATCTCATGTTTTTCTTCCTTACTATTAAGATTCTAATTGTGTTCCACACCACAAGAAAAATGTTGCTTTTTGATTGAGTGATATGCATTTTTGCCTTTGCTTGATTATAGTGGGCCCAATCAAGCAACTTAACATTAAATTTGATTGATTGGATTTTTTCCAATGTATTTGTAAGCTTAACATTTTGAAAGAAAAGCTCTATTAAGAATCTTAGTCTATGCATATTATGCTTATGATTTATATTTGTCACCAATTCTGACACACTGCAAATAAATATGTCAGACACCAGTCCATGAATTGATAAGTTTGCTATGCTATAATTTGTGTTGATGTTGCTACAGTTGCCTGTGCTATTGCCCTTGTGATATATGGTTTCTGTTCATAACGTATGCCTAATGGTTCTTTTCATTACTTAGCATGCTATGAGCTGCTTAAACTGTAGTCCATGAAACAGTTAACTGATTTCAGATCGCTAGGGAACTACGCCTGAGAGATATTGGTGGCATTATCGTGGTAGANTTTGGACAATTACTAACACCAAATTCCAAGTCAGAAGGTGTGTTCTAGCTATTGGGAAGTATGATGTCATGTTGACGTCAGCCACTGACGATGATGTCAGCGACGGGACGGAAATCCGAGAATCCTCTATATGTTTTCTGATGATATTTGGGCACGAATCATTGCTTGTTGTGATACGAAGTTAAAATAGTACTAGTAAGAGTATTAGGGTTTGGGAAAAAAGATGAAGAAGAATAAGAAAAGACGAAAGATAGAGAAAGAGAATAATTTGTGGGTGTGTAGGATGTGTTGCCATACTTCCTCTTATTTACATTGAACAATATCTCGGGTAATTATAATATTACCCTACACTAGTTTATGCTCATAAACATAAATATAAAACATAAAAATAAGAACTCCAATGAATTTTATAGAAAGATCGGTTCAATTTGAAATATCTCCTATTTGTCTCAACTTCAGTTTTTCCTACTTAGTTTGCCATCTCTAGTGGTGTCATACCTCTTCAGAAGGCCCTTAATTTGCTCGTAAGATGGAGAACTTGCAAACCTAGAGGTCCATATAGGCATCTTGTTGCTCCTTGTATCTATGTCATACCTCATAAGAAGACCCTTTAGGTGGTCATTGGATGAGGGACAATTCCAAGTCTAGTAAGCCAGTCACACCACATAGATGTTTTTGTGTTGGGTGCGTGAGATAAGGTGGGGAAAAAGTTCCGGGATGTAAACTTATAGAGTGGGAATAATTTACAAAGGATGTGTACATTGTGAAAATAATGTATTAAGATGTTAATAGGGTGTGCTTAGTCGTGAATGGGGTGAGTACGGAATGGGGTAGGTCTAGACACCATTAAAGTGAGTGTATAATGGAGGGGCTTTGGTAGTTTTACATGACAGTTTGATGGGGGTGAAGATGGATATTTATTGGGGTGGGAATAGCCCCACCAAATATCAATCTCATGTTTTTCTTCCTTACTATTAAGATTCTAATTGTGTTCCACACCACAAGAAAAATGTTGCTTTTTGATTGAGTGATATGCATTTTTGCCTTTGCTTGATTATAGTGGGCCCAATCAAGCAACTTAACATTAAATTTGATTGATTGGATTTTTTCCAATGTATTTGTAAGCTTAACATTTTGAAAGAAAAGCTCTATTAAGAATCTTAGTCTATGCATATTATGCTTATGATTTATATTTGTCACCAATTCTGACACACTGCAAATAAATATGTCAGACACCAGTCCATGAATTGATAAGTTTGCTATGCTATAATTTGTGTTGATGTTGCTACAGTTGCCTGTGCTATTGCCCTTGTGATATATGGTTTCTGTTCATAACGTATGCCTAATGGTTCTTTTCATTACTTAGCATGCTATGAGCTGCTTAAACTGTAGTCCATGAAACAGTTAACTGATTTCAGATCGCTAGGGAACTACGCCTGAGAGATATTGGTGGCATTATCGTGGTAGATTTCATTGACATGATGGATGATTGTGAGTAAAAACTCTCTCTCTCTCTCTCTCTCTCACATGTGCACACGCAGTGCGTGTGTTCCATTCTAAGATGTCCGGTAATTAGATTGACATCAGCAATGCGGTTCTTATGAAAATTATATTTGTACTGAAACACTAATCAACATTTAAGAAAATTAAATATCAAATCTGAAGAAATCTAATGAAACAACTACAAAGGTGGGCCTGAGTTATGATTTAGAATGCTAGTGTCTTGAAACATGGCAATAACATGAGTACAACTCCAATCAAGGATTAAATGGCATCAAATCTTGGATTGAATTGAACCTCCTCATCTTTCTTGCGTGTGCGAAAGAAAAAGCTTTGAAAAAAAAGATTGTTGCTTATATCTAGGGAAGCTATCCAACATTTCAAAATTTGTAGGAGATCATGCATGTTAGAGCGTCCAACCTAAAACAAATTGCCAATGAGTGGAGTTGGCTCATCAAGTATATAAACCAACATTGGTTGTTCATATGGATTCGATGTTGCGATACAAGATCTCTTAACACCCTCCATTATTTGGGACTTGGGCTTGCATGTGGGGCTAACAAACAAGCAGATAAACATGCATACCGATAAATTCAAATGGGTAAGACACTTGACCTACCGACCACCCTATGCCTAACCATGAGACCATGATAGCATCAAACCTAAAGCCAATTGGTCATGAGGAGAGAAGCCCCTTAAGCATATAAACCAACCTTGGATAGTCTAATTATTCGATGTGGGACTCGAGCTCTTTTTGCTGTACAAATGTCAGTTTTCAATAAATCTGCTAAAAGCAATATCACTCTACTTTATTATGGTTGGCAGCAATAAAACACTAATATATCGAGTTGATCTGGCTAGATGTTTCTTTCCTTTTATGTTGGTATACCATGAAAAGCATGTGATCTTTTGGAAGTACATTGAGAATGTATTATTTTCCTTAGATGGACACCATTTGATTGCATTGACTGGCAGTCGTGGTTATTATCCAATCTGGTCTATAACATGTTTTAGGCATGGAAGGGGGAAATTTTTCTTACTGTTATTCTCATGTGTACAGATAAACGTTTCACGTGTATCTTCTACAATTGAACTTATACACAACACATGCAACCTTTTATTTTGTTTTCTTTTGACACAATGTTATCCTTCAGCAAATAAAAGATTGGTCTACGAAGAAGTTAAAAAGGCCGCTGCCAGAGACCGATCAACAGTGAAGGTTTCTGAATTGTCTCGGCATGGGCTTATGGAAATCACCCGAAAGAGGGTATGTTGCATGTTTCTGCTGGGTTGTCATGGGATGGTTTTGTTTTCATAAATTTCTGTCAAAAAATGCTGTAAAAATTTCCATCACAAGATGCCCAACCATTTGTGGAAAGATAGTTTAATTACAGGGTAGACAAATAATTTATCTTGTAATAACTGAGTAGGTAAATAGTTTTACTTTGAAAGATGCTATTTTTTTCTCTAATAAACTGTTGATGTGACGATTGACAGGTTCGACCTAGTGTAACATTTATGATTAGTGAACCATGCACTTGCTGTCATGCTACTGGGAGAGTGGAAGCTTTAGAGACCTCATTTTCTAAAATTGAACATGAAATTTGCCGGTACCTTGTAAGTGATTTTGTTTATCTGAGGAATCTGTTGTTCTGGTGGTTATCAATTATCCCCTAAAAGATGGAAAACCATAATTATCAAGATGAAACAAAAGGAACTAGTGAATTTGTTTTTTCTTGTATATTGTCAGCGTCACTTTGTAAGCAGGTCTCCATTGATATAGGGTTCATGAATTCTTGTTTTGGGATTCCTCTTGCTTATTCTTTCAACAAATTTTCACCATCTTCTATCTCTCTTGCCTCTTTCTATATACATTCCTCAGATAATTGAGGTGGATCACATTCATATACTTCACTTCGTTTACCTATTATTACCATTAATTATTTTCAAAAACTCTATCACTTATCTCTCGCCATTTGTTGTAACTCCAAGATGATTTATACCTTGTTTGGTATCATCTGTATCAGGCAACTATGGGCCAGAAGGCTGACCCTGAAAACCCCAAGTCATGGCCCAGGTTTATTCTAAGGGTTGATCGGTACATGTGTAACTATTTAACCTCAGGAAAGAGGACAAGATTAGCAGTCTTGAGCAGTTCTCTTAAAGTATGGATTCTTCTAAAGGTATGCCTGCCCAACAGCACATTTGGTTACTGAATCATTGTGGGACCACCATTGAGATATTGTCTCTAAGAATTATATAAAGATTAAAACAGCAAGTGTTGTATTCTGCTTTGGTGTTGCAATGAACTGATGGGAATTTTGTTATGGTAAATATATTATACTGTCAGGGAGCAGAAAAATATACTCAGTCCAATTGGTATACTGATTTGGGACTTCTACCTAGTCTATCATTAAAGATCAAGATGGGGATAATCTTAACTAGTGCATTGCATGCTTTTCTTGTTATTTGAACTTCCATCTTGAAGTTGTACTATACTTAACTGACATAAAATGAACCTCTAAATGGAATTGGGTACACTAATGCAATCACAGATTTTAGAACTGTGGCCATGCAAGCCTATAGTGTATTTAAATGTATAGCAACCTCAGTGGATAGCTCAGCATTGAGCATTTTACCTCACGGAGCATGATGTTTTTGGTTAAAGTTTCGCTCTTGCCTCATACCAAAGGCTGGCAATAATTGCAATATCCTTCTTTAAAAAGGCATGGTCAGGGTTCCTCGTTACCTTAGCAATCGCCGCCCCACCAAAACAAAAATTCAAAACGAATGTATGCATCTTTTCCTGAATGTTTCTGGTTCATTCCCTGACAATGGTGAAAGTTCTATTTAAACATTGCAGTGTTAGCAAAATATTGATTCAGTTTTTTTTTTCCTTCATGTGCATCTCGGATTCAGGTTGGACAAAACCTGAATTTTCAGTAGAGAGCAGTGAATCTCTTTTAATGATCAATTATGGTCCATTGTATGCCTTTGCATATTTTATTTATGGAGTGTGAACGGGCAATCCTTTTAAGAGTTCATTATGGGTTAAACATTGTAAACTTTGATGGACTGAATGAGCTAACTGTGGTTGTGTCAACTATATTCATGATGCCTGAATGTTCATATAGCATAGATTATGAGTGATCCAAGTCATATCTAGAACACCATTCCGTTCAATTTCCTCGATGCTAGATTGCTTAAAATAGATCTGTGGGACCCACTGAACTCAAGTGGTTGATCTAACAGTAATGAAAATGAAATGGCAAGTGTGTTGAAAGGGAGGTTAATCCAGTTATAAGTATGTTCATTTCTACTGATACTTTAATGCACAGAAATTGCCGGTGTGTAAAATTCAGATTTTTGTGTCTTGATTTAAATGAGTGGTGATTAGTATGCATATTTCAACTGAAACTGCAAAGACTGATCTTTGGTTCAAGGCGTACGTTCATATTTAATTTGCTTCACCTGCTTAAGTTGAAGTTGATTATTTATGCTAGTTACTGATTATCCTAAACCTTTGGTAAATCAGGTTGCTAGAGGTTTTAGTAGGGGTGCCTTTGAGCTGAAACCATTGATAGGTGACAAGGATTACAATAACCAGCATCAAGTTGCAATTCCTATGTTGCGATCAACGGAGGTTGGATCTTATACACCCTGCAGAAAAGTCACTCTCTTTCCCATAAAAAAATGGAAGACTGGAGGGAAATGAGCACGTCCAATTCTGCTAGTATTATTCTTGTCTGTACAGTTTTGCCTATGTTCACATGGCCCATTAGTCGATGGCGCTGCAATATCCTGTTGGATTTGAATGGTTTATTTTTTCGGATACTTTTCCTCTGGCCAAGCAAATTTTGTATTAGTTTGATTCACCCCTTTCCCCGCTTAAACATAATATACGAACATTCTTTTTTTTTTTGGGCAAGCATAGATTCATTCACCACTGAAGAACATGATTGATTTGATACATTTCTGAAGTTACTTTCTCAAGTGAACCATAATTCTGTAGCCCTGTTGAGTTCATTGATTGATCAGAGGTTCTCCATTAATTGGTAATCCTGGCATCATTTTAATCCCAAGCCCCAATATCTCTGGCTATATCTAATGGTCAGAGCAATTCTTGCAGAGAGTTGCGTGAGTGCGAACATCAGGATATCTTAAGAAACGTTTAGCCATTTCAAGTTGTCTTTTTCTTCTGTACTTGTCAATACTAAAATTATTAAACAATTATTGAGCAAATGGCACTGTCCTATGACAGCTAAGCACAGGCAAAACGTATTCGAGAGCAGGGATAAAACCGAATAAGGCCTATAAGGAAACCACCCCAGTAAAGTTGCGCCTTTTCATGACTAAAGAGCAAAAATAACAAAAATGGAATGAAAGAGTTCGAAAATAAGACCTGAAAACCATAAAGATGCAATATAGTGGTAAGGGTACCTCCACATTGTGATTATATGACTGGAATGGTTCAAGCCAGTAAGCTAATCAAATGTTCCTCGTATTTCAAGTGGACAAAATCATTTGGATAGAAAAACCATCTCAATAAACCTAGATGAGGCATAAACAGGTGTCTAGCAAAAATTACAACAACGACCAGATACAACCAAGCAAGTGAAGGATTTTGACATCTCTCCGAGTTCCTGTGCCATTGGCACTGGTTCCAATCTGTATATGTTGCTTCGAGCAAAAAAAAAAATGCGTACAAATTTTTGCGTAAGCCTTTAATAAATGGATATACTCTTTCAAGAACCCCCTGCTGAACAAGAAGATAAGCGCAAAGTGGCACAACAAAAGAATTGGGAGTCTTGTTTAGGTTTTCACTATATCACACTAAATTTGGTAGTATTAAATTGAGAGATAATTTGAAATCTTTGACAATCTATCTTCACTTTCTAGTACATTATAAGAAATATAATTCAACTGGATTGTATCATAGGGAATCAAGAGTATATGTATCATGAAAAGAATGGATAGGTTAATGAAAACCATTAAAGAAATTACATGATTTATTGATTTTAGCTCAATGTTAGAGGTGATAATGAATACTTGGGAGATAGAGAAAATAATTGGCCTTAATTGAGTTGGTGAATAATGTGAAAATATTAGTTGCCCTTAATAGAGTTGGTGAATAATGTGAAAATATTAATTGGCCTTAATCGAGTTGGTGAATAATGTGAAAATATTAAGATTGATCTAAAAGTAAAATTTCGGATGCGTGTAAGTTATGAAGGGGATTGTAAGGCTTATTAATTTGAGCTCTAGATTGGAGATTGAAAACAAATATCTTAGAGATATAACTTAACCCTTAGCCCAAGTAGTATATTTGGTTATTTACTAAAATTCACTTTGGAGGGAAAAGATGGATCATCAGTATATACATTTTAGAAGTTTTAATCGGAGGATATGTATGGTTAGACTTCAGTTGTACACTTTGGTGGAATTCGACACATTTTCACAAACCATTTGAATATATAAGAATTCTTATCCCGTGGTTAGTTTTGACTTGTGAATTGGTGAATTATAATTTATATCAGAGTGCGCAATGAATCGTTTGATTAGATTTAATATTATTGGGATTAACCATTAGTTATGGTTATAGTGGTGAGTTTAAAGAGTATAAACTTGAAATGTACGAATTTATCACCTGGATAACTATGTGTTGTGTTTGATGGTTATAACTATTGGGAACCTTGTGGTGTCCTCTGAATTGTCAAGACTTAGGATTCTCCATAGGATTGAATGATGTAGAGTGGAATCTAATGGTGGATACATTAATTAAAATGGAGAAGAGAGCTTCTAGAACTTTTTATATGATTTTTAGTGGTCTGGAGTGTTTCTAATGGTAAAGGCTAGTGTAAAACCCAGGTAAATTTGAATTTTTGTGAAAAAGGATAAAACGATAATTTGTCACTTCGGTGCGGGTTGAAAACTTGTATTTTTTCTACAGCTTGAATGACGAAACAGACCTCACCATTGGATTCGTCTCGTGAAATATAGTTATCCATACAATTTTTATCGAATTCCAAAATAGTCAGATTTTTTACATTTTAAAGGGTATAAATAGGGGAGAAAAATTAGATTTCTCCCCATATCCATCAGATTATCTTAAAAATAGAAATAAGATAAGGAATTTTACCTCCTCTCTACGATCTACGTTGCTCGAATCGACCCAAGCCAAGAACAAAAGTTGTTCTACTCGTCGAGGGCTATAAAACCATACCAAAAACGGACGGATTTCATCGAAGATTCAAAAATAAAATTTTGGGGAAATTAAAGGCTAAGGTTTCATCTGTGTTCTTGAAGGTTTTCTATCTTTGTTTTACGCTTCAAGAGGTAAGGTTTTCATCCTAACTAAGTTTATTTTCAACCTAGGGCTGTGGTATGGAATGGGTAGGTTGTTAGAGGTATATAACACTTGCCTATTGTTGTAAATTTGATGAAATGAGTATTGAAAATGGGTAAAATTAATTTTAGTGTGAATTGGTATTTAGAAATTGCTAGCTTGTAATTTCTTGAAAAATTTTGATATGTGGGCATGCTATGTGTCTATAATATGCCTTAGAGAATTAAGTGTGTTAATTGCATGAGATTATGTGATAACATGCTTGAGAATTGCTGTTGGATAAAAATATTGATTTATGCCTAATGATGTATTGACATTAATATTATGATATAATTGGCTGTGAAATATGTTGAAATGTGAGTGAAATGGTTCATATGACATTCATAACATATCGAACATGATGTTAGTATTGCAAATGTACACAACATTGCATATGCACAGAGACATCACATTCATGGGCATTAGGCAAGAGTGTGGGTGTGTGTGTATATTGTTGGATCAAACACCATTCTTGGTGGTTGATAAGTGGACTCGGTACAGTCGGACCAAGGTTTGACAGAGTCGCACGGATTGTATGAAAAACTTGTGTCGAGTATAATAAGAAGTGTTAGATTCTCCCTTGGGTGCAAAACCCGATTACTGGTTTATACACTTCCGCTAGTGAAAGTCCAAAAAAGTGTATTGGTATGCGGAATCAACGGTGAGACTAGAATCCGTGTACCCAATAAAGACACATGATTTTATTTTTTTATTAAATAGTCATTCGATGTGTAGCATTAATAGAGGAGTCTTAGAATGTCCAATTTTATACTTATGGCACTGCATGGGTGATGGGAGCCAGTGAAGGCTCGGGGTTGAAGTGCATGATTGAGTCTTATCTTATATCATGGCATGACATGGTAAATTTCAATATCGAATTGCATATTCTTGATTGGAATATTTGTTGTTTGTTGAATTGTGCATGTGAACATTTTATATGCATTTAAGTTAGGGAGTAACCTCTTTAGGAGATACCCTATTGAGCGTAGGTCACCGTTTATGGAAAAACATTTCAAGTGCGGGTTATACACTGGTAGACGGCTCACATTCGGGGCCTCAAGGATGAAGAAAAATTGACTTGTAGCTTTCAAATCATGTTTTGTAAACCTATTGTAGATATTTAGTTTTTGATATGTAATTATATGAAAATGACTGTAATGGAATTGTATGAACCATGTTGTATGTAAAACATCATGTTATGGGAGTTTGGGTTGATGTTGTACATGGTTGGAATAGATTGGAAATCGAAAATGGATGAAACGAGAAAAATTGGGCACACCTACCGATAAGAAAATTGAGCTCTTCTACTGGTAGATGTGAACCAGTAGGTAGCTTATATCGGTAGGTTTTGCTAGTAGAACTTTTTCAATAGGGTTCTCCTACTGGTAGAACATCACTTTTTCTACCGGTAGAAGAATTCCAGTAGGTTGTTTTTACTGGTAGAACATGGACTTCTTCTACTAGTAGGTTTTCTCAGATTTTCTAAAAACAGAGGTCCAGTGCACAACTTCTACCGATAGGATTTGGATCACTTCTACTAGTAGGTTTTCCTAAAACTTCAAATTTTAAAAATGTTTTACTAAGCAATTTGGCATTATTTTTCTCTTGCTCAAAGATGTTCTACATGATATAAATGATGATAAACTAATGTGTATAGGACCACGGATGTGTGGGTTATGATCCTAGTTAAGGGGATGCTATTGATGTGATGTCAGGTGGTGCGATAATCACGGGTACTTTCACGGGTTGATGGGTGATCAACAGTTGATAAAGGACCCCCGATTTTATGGGCGTCATAGTTAGGTATCAAAGCCTACATTCTCGATTTACCTAAGGATTGCGGGGCATGAGTTTAGACCATTGCATCCATTGAGCATTACATGTTATGTGATTTAAATGCTACATGTTATGCGCTTTAAATGCTACATGTTATGTGTTATGTATTATGTGAATAATATGCATGGTTAAATGTATATGGAGAAAGAGACACTAGGGTTAGAGAACATAACCTTGGGGGTTAGAAAAAGAATGAACGAGATGGTTCAGAGTGTAGAGGTCTACTAGTGAGTGACACATACTCTACCAGTGAGACAAGGAGAGAAATTTCAAAGTTTGAACTTGATCCTATCTTGGGATACTAAGTTGGTGCTCTAATGCTATTTGACGTGTGTGTAGATGGCAAATAGAGGAAGAGAACGCAACCAAGGAGGTGGGCGGAACAACAACTAACCACCATCGGCCTTTGACCAACAAGCCTTTATGGAGGTTATTGGCACAATGGCGGCTACCTTTGCACAAGTTAGGGCTAATGTGGGCCAAAGAGGCTAAAG